TCAAATTTACATAGCTGGAAAGTGGCAGAACCTCAACCTAGAACTCTTTGACTTCCGAGCTCTTGTCTCCTCCTTAGTCCTGCATCCCTGAAACCATATTGCCATCAATGAACATAGGGACTTTTGGAGTCATTGTAGAGTTATGCACTCTACAGATTCCCTTCTCAGTTTCGGCTCCTGGTGACATTCTTAGCACCTTTAATTGGAATGCCAAATGGTTTGAAGGCCTAACATGGTCCAGTTGATGGTGACAGGTACCCCTCAGCACCTGGTCCAGGCTCAGACCATTCCAGACCACTAACACCTGCACTTCTTTCTTTTCAGTGCCAATGAGCCAGGTCCTACCCAATGCTCATGAAACATTAGTGCTGGAAGGGATCTTACAGGTCACTGAGTGCCAGCTCCTTACTGGGGGAAATGAGACCCAGGAGGATGCAATGCTATTCTTGGGTATGTTACCAGGAGAGAAGAAAACCTTTTGAGGAACTCCACTAGCGCTTTTTCATTAGATAAATTATTTTGTAAATAAAATCATTGCCTGAGCAAAGAGAATGAACTCTGCAGCCTACAGACTTGGTGCATTTTCCAGGCATCTGGTATAGGTGGCTGGAAGATCAAGAGGGCACAGGGGAAGGCAGGGAGCAAGGTTGATGGGATGCCAGGGCCAGGGGTCACGTCACAGAGTGAATTGGGCTGAGAGACTGAATCAGGCCATTTGTGCTGTTGAAGATACCTCAGACTAGGTAATTTATAAATAATAGGAATTTATTGCTCACAGTTCTGGAGACTTGGAAGTTCAGGATCAAGATGCGAGTGGGTTCGTGTCTGGTGAGGGCCACTCTCTGCTTCCAAAGATGGTGCCTCACATGATGGAAGGGATGGAAAAATGGACAAATGGTGCATCCTCTGATGCAGAAGAGATGAAAGGGCCAGGCAGTTCACTGAAGTCCTGTCTTATAAGGGCATTAATCCCATTTGTGAGGGTGGAGCCCTCATGGCCTACTTACCTCCAAAAGGCCCCACCTGTTACTACTCTCCTATGGTTTAAATTCCAACACAAAGTTTGGAAGGACACATACATTTAAATCATTGCAAGGACCAAAAGGGAGCATTAGGGAAAACCTTGACTTCAGATTTGGACTAGACTTATCCTAGGCTGAGGGCTAGACAGAGTCTACCCTCGATCAATTTGCAATAAACACCACTCATCCTTCAAACAGGAGCCTGCCTACTTGCAGCTGGTGCTGAAGGGAAACCTGTCAGTTTTCTGCCTAGTTCATAGCTTAACCAGAAGGCTCTCGGTGGGGAAGGAAAAGAAATAAGATATAATCAGGTATCTGGAAAACTTGTGGTGCTTATTGGTATTAGCTATAGTTTCCATGGGGCTGTGGGGGAAAAAAAAAAAAGGAATGAGAGAGGCTGACAAAGACATCACAGACAGGTATGCATTAGTGTCTATTTGGGAGAATAGATGAATTTTCCATTGAGGAACACTTTTGTCATAAAAGTTATTGTTTTCCAACTTGTCTAAAAGCAAAGCTATTTATTTCTAAGAACTACTGGGCCATTGTGAGAGGCAAAGAACTAAAATGCATTTGTCTAAGATGTATTTGCCTTTTAAAATTCCATTTTACTTTTTAAAATGTAGTTATAAAATAGCCCACCTCTTCTGGGTCATTGACTCAACAGAAATAAATCACATTTTAAAGGCCATTGATAGCCAAACTTTAACTCATTATTTCATTGTATCTCAACAATGTACCATTCTCACCACTGTGCCGAGTAGTCAAGTTGCCTTACTTCTTTTTAATAATGAGAACAACAAAAATGTACTTTAAATTTCAAATCACTTTCACATCATTATCTCATTTTATTTTTGAAACAACTCATGAGTTCTTCAAAGTCCATATTTGTATATTTTTGTGCAGGTTGATGTTTCTTAAACATCATTCCTTTGCATACTATTTTCATGATATTTTATATATCCTCTGTACTTAGACTTTTTCTTAAAATCAATTTACTGTTTTTAAGAAAGCTTAAATAGCTATCTTTAGGAAGATAATTTTATAACAAAAAATGAGAGCTCAGTCTCTCCCGATAAACAACAGGAAACAGAAAACATAAATATAAAACTATTAATTTTCTTTTAAGTTTGCTGACATACCACTTAAAATGTCCTTTGTCACTGGTGGCAGAGGGACCACACCCTGGAACTCTTGAATTGATGAGTGTGAAGCAAACTCTTGCTCTTGCCTGTCCCCTCAGTCTAGGCCTGATGTCAGGCTTTGGTTCTTGACCCTGGGGATAAAGAAATAGAAGGCGCAGTCTCTCTCAGATCTGTTTAAAGCAGAATAAAAAGGAAAGTTGCAGGGTGCTCTGGTCTGTTTTTGGCAAGCCTAAGCAAGAAGGGAAAGTCAATTTCCTTCAGATAGCTTGGTCATGGGGGAAGGACAGCTGTCTTCCCAGTGGAGTTCATGGCTCCTCACCCATTGAGTCAAGGCTGGCTCCTAACTCACCTGTCACACTTTATCTTAGTAACAGACTCAAGGTATACATTGGCTCGTTAAATGTCACAGCCCCCAGGGCCGCAGAAGAGTCTAAAACTGCTCTTTCCAATGAGTGGCCATCTGAAAAGAGTCTCTTGGTTTTCTTGGCTTTGAGTTCTTGAGTGCTGCCCTCTTTTCTCTCCTTCAGATGAACTTTCAGCTTGAGATCACTTCATAATTGAGTCATCTTGTACTCTTGGTGCAGATGGCTCTCCAATCATCTTTGCTGTCCTTGACAATAAACACAGAGGAGAGCGTGGGTTTCAGATTGGCAATTTGAATTGAGGCTTTGCAACTAACTACCTGGGCAGTGCCAGGTAATCTGATAGAGATGGAGAGACAAAACTGGACATGGTTTTTTCCTTTTTGTTTAGTGGGAAAGACAGGGAAATAAACAAATATGGCGATATAGTATAACAAATGCTAAGATACGAGTAAGGACAGACAGTTTTAGGAAACAAAAAAGGGCAGCAAACCAGACCAGGAACACCAGGAAAAGCTTCCTGGAGGAGGTGGCACTTGAGTTAGACCTTGAAGGTTGAATAAGAGCTTCTAGACAGTGGAGGCAGAGGTAAGTCACCCTGGAACGGGGAATGGTATGGGGTTACATGGAGCCTACGTTTTCTCATCTGCAAAAGGCTAAAATGATCTTCATATGCTTATTGTCAGGATAACGTTATGGAAATTGCCTGATGCTATTGAGGACAAATAATAAATATCTGAGTTATTCATTTTAACCACTTTGCCACTCCCCTGCGGGCCTGCAGCATGTATTTCCTCCTTGATTGTGGTACTTAGGACATGGGGTGTTGGGACTTACCTGTTTATGAGGCAATCGTCCCTGATAGACCAAAGCTCCATAGGTAGAACGAGGGTCACAGCTTCCTTGGAGTAACTTTCTTCTATAAGTAGCCCTTAACTAAGCTAGCAGAAGCTCCTAGAGAAACTGCAGGTTGACATTTTTTTCCAGTGGGATATTTATGTTTAAGAATGGTTTCACAGTTATATTTCTGACACTTCCTGCTCTCCTCCAGAATTTGAAGGAAGCCAGTTTTTCCCAGCATCCTACTCCTAACACTACACTTAGCACCCACTGATGTTGCCCAAAGGCTTAGGACAATGCCTTGCACGTAGTAGGCACTCAAGAAGTATTTGTTGAATGAATAGTGAGCCACATAAAGTTAGGCATATGACTTCCTCCACTCCTTATCACATCTGACCCACAGCAGCCATCTGAGAATGGGGTAGCTTCTCCAGCAGGCCGTGCTTACTGAGCACTTAATCCTCTCCCTTTCTATCCATGTGGACAGCATGGGTGCCATGGATGTGCCGCGTGCCACTACTGTGCACGTGGCTTCCTCGCATCTGTTCTTGCATGCTAGCTGCACAGGGATCTAATGATGTGATCCACGGTGGGCTGCACTGTGGTGTTTTCTAGTCTCTGCTTTGCTGCCGCAGATCCTAAAGTTTATAGCTCCCCTCTTCTGGAAAGAATGTTCCATGCGGGGCTCCCAAGATGACAGGAGGGCACTCTCCTGTTTCATCTCGAGTTTGCTACTGACTACAGGGGAATGTGGGTTCAGTTTATTGGAAGAAAGTGGTACTGATGATCTCCTCACCCAGACCCTGTTCTACAGACACTTTTGGTTGCAGCATTCTATTCTTGGAGGCAGAAATGGTCTCAGCAGTCCGGTCTGCACTTGCCTTCCTGTGTTTCCTGGGCCTCTGTGGTCATAAAGCCATGCCTAGCCATTCCAAATCTTCTCCCCTGAGTGCTAATTAACCCTGTGCTATAGAGAAAGACAGGACAAGAACATCATGTACATAAAGCTTCAATAGATATAGGAAACTAGGGGTATGACGACAGCCACTGCCTTCCCCATCATTATTATGCAATGTGACCCCTGACGTCAACGACTGTGTGCTCTTCAGCTCTGAATCCCTAGCACCTGGCACCCTAATAAATGTTTGTTGCATGTACATGAATGAATCTCAGCCCTGCCCCAATTCTCAGAGCAATATGAGTTCTAGGCAGGGAATTCTGGAGCAGCCTGGGAACCTACTTGCTCTCCCCATCTGAGGTTTGGTATAGACTCACCTTCCCTGGCTGGCTGGCCCAGGCCACAGTCACTCAGGCCAGGAGCTTGTGGACTGTGCCCCTTGTTGCACTGGCTGTGGATCCAGCATCACCCAGAATGGATTCCAAGCTGGGCCCCAGAGAACATCCATGCTTATTTCTGTCCTAGGCCAGGCCCTCTCCCCTCTGTGTCCCTCGCTTGTCTTTATACCACCAGGGTAGTGTAGGTGAGAGCACCTAGGGCTCACAGATGTGTAGGTGTGGCTAAAAAGAGGGGCAAGATACAGGAAAGAAAGGTGGGGCTGAGCTTCTGTCCCCCAGGGCCCATTTCGTTGCCCCCCAACCTCCCACCACCTATATTCTTCTTCTCCTTGCAGGCTCCCCTGGCCACACTGGCTCTACATCCATGAGCCCGTCAGCAGCCTTGTCCACAGGGAAGCCAATGGACAGCCACCCCAGCTACACGGACACCCCAGTGAGTGCCCCACGGACTCTGAGTGCAGTGGGGACCCCCCTCAATGCCCTGGGCTCTCCGTATCGAGTCATCACCTCTGCCATGGGCCCACCCTCAGGAGCACTGGCAGCACCTCCAGGAATCAACCTGGTTGCCCCACCCAGCTCTCAGGTAGGTGTTCTTCCTCTCCAAGGCCTTTCCAGCCATCTTACATGGTCTCACCCAGGCTGCTCCTGGAGCAGAACCAGCACTCAGCAGGTGCCTAATGTGTGCTTAGCGAAGGGGTTGGATGGTCTCTGCAGACGTCCTTCAGGCAGGGCCTTCATTGCATGTGTCCTCAGGCTGAGCGGTCCTGAAGAACTGACAACTCCTCATGGTCCAGGGGACTGTGACCAAAAGGGAGCCTGCCTTGTGGTTTTAGTAGTTCAGCCCTGGCTGTGATTTCAACATCTCTTAGGGTTGTTTGTGTCATCAGCAGAGTGGACCTCTTTCATTCTTCTCAATTCAATCTTGAGTCACTGAAGTGCCATGTGCTCTTGTTAAAGGCAATGCAGAAATGATCAGGATATGGCCATTGCTTTTCAGGAGCTTACAACAGAGAGGAGAAATAGACAGGTATGGCAATGGATAAATTGAGAACAAGGCAGACTGCATTACATGCTGTCTCTGAGACTATGGGAAGTCGGGAAGGAAACTTTACCTTAATTTCGAGTACCTTCTGCTATGATGGAGGAGAAGAGGTATTTGCACGGTACATGGTAGGTTGCTACTCTGCAGAGCCTATAGGATGACCAGATGTCTTTACTTCCTTCTAGCAATACCACACTAAGGTCATCATCCTTCCCCTCTTGTAATGGTTGGCTATTGCTGCAATAATGCTGCATAACAAAAAATTCCCAAACACTTATCTTCTCACTCATATGTCTACCTTAGACTAGGACAGATGGCTCTGCTTCAGATGGTGAGTGAGTGGGCTCAGCTATAGCCCACTCAGGTTTCAGTAGGAGCAGCAGCTACCTGGGGCATGCTTTTCTCATGGTGTGTCATAGAAATGTGAAAGTCCAAACCCAACCCAGAAAGCACAGTGAAGTCTCTGCTCAAATCATGCCCACTGATATTCCATCAGCGTAAGAAAACCAAATGACTGATTCAGGCCAGGGACGGTGGCTCATGCCTGTAATTCCAACACTTTGAGAGGCCGAGGTGGGTGGATCACGAGGTCAGGAGGTCAAGACCAACCTGGCTAATAAAGTATTTTGTATTCTAAAAATACAAAAAATTAGCCGGGCATGGTGGCAGACGCCTGTAATCCCAGCTACTCGGGAGGCTGAGGCAGGGGAATAGCTTGAACCTGGGAGGCGGAGGTTGCAGTGAGCCGAGATCGTGCCACTGCACCACTGCACTTCAGCCTGGGCAACAGAGTGAGACTCCATTTCAAAAGAACAAAACCAAGCAAAACAAAATATGACAGATTCCAACATTGATGGGACAAGGAAGAAGGCTGTGTCTATACTACTGGGAGGTACTGCAGAGACACGATGCAAAGAATATGAAGAATGAAAAGGAGTGAAGTATTAAGAACAATAATCCCATCTGCCATACCTTCTTCTCTTCCTGTATAATAGCCAGGGTTCCTGCTGCCCCAACTACCAGCACACCTAGAGGCAGAACTGGCAGGTCCTTTACGTGTCAACTTGACTGTGCCATAGGATGCCCTCATATTTGGTTAAACATTGTTCTGGGTGTTTCTGAGAGGGTGCTTTTGGATGAGATGAACATTTAAATAGGTAGACTGAGTAAAGGAGTTTGCCTTCTCTAATGTGAGTGGGCATCATCCAATTAGTTGAAGATCTGAATAGAACAAAAAAGCTCACCCTCCTCTGAGTAAGAGAGAACTTTCCTGCCTATGACCTTTGAACTGTGACATCATTTTTTTCCTGTCTCTGAACTTGAACTGAAGCATTTGCTCTTCCTGGGTCTCAAGCCTGCTGGCCTTTGGAGTGTGCCATGAGCTTTTTTAGGTCTCCAGCTTGCTGACTCACCCTGTGGATCTTGGGACTTATCAGCCTCCAAAATCATGTGAGACAATTGCTTATAATGAAATTTAAAATACATACACACACACACACACACACACACACACACACACACACACACACACGCCTCCTATAGATTCTGTTTCTTTGGAGATCACTGACTAACGCAGTCCCAAAGCCTCCTTCGAATATGGTTTTGAAGAGGAGGCAGGGCTCCTTTTATGTCAGCATTTTCTGCTACTCCAGAGAGAACTTCAGTAACCACACCTGGAGTCTCCTCTGAGATACCTCATATTCTAGGCGTCTGAAAGCAAATTCTTGTGGAGTTATAGCATAGAGCCAGTAAGGACTTCAAAAATGTATTGCTCCATGGATGAGATAATTAGGGAACTGCCTTAGAGATAAGCTAGTGTAGGGATTCCAGGAGCTGGGGCCAGTCAGGTAACACAGGTGAGTGAATGAGGGGTGTGTAAGTCAATGGGGCGGGTGTGGACTGTGGAGAACTGCCCTGCTCCCTCAAAGCTGTTCAAATTCACAGACTTTTAATGCATTCTTCAGGCCAAATAAACTACGTTCTTGGGTCTAATTTGGCCAGTCATCTTCACCCCAGTTTCTAATCTTATGGTTCTCACCTTTAGGACATTTTTCAGAGTACACATTTCTCCCTCATCCCATATTTTGGCCCTTGTGCAGGTAACAAAAGCCCCACAGGGATCCTAACTGCCCCACTCCTGCTCAAATGAGGATCACTCATTCTGTCCAAACCCTTTATTCCACAAATGAAGTAGCAAGACTTGGGGAGCCCAAGTGACTTGTCCGGCCTCACACAGCCAGTCAAAAACAGAGCCAAAATGAGAACCTGTCCCCTGGCCTGCAACCCTGTGTTCACGATCCTGCATTTTCCTAATGCTGTGATATATGCTGACTTGCACAGTGACCCCAAGATCTTCCTGTTGGCTGCCAAGGATTAAAAGATGGATAATCAGTGCTCCCGGGGAATCTTGTGGGAGAGGTGGCCACATTATGCAGACCCATTGCACTTCGGTGCTGCCTGTGTGCTGTCATAGACGCAGGGGCAGACCTGAAGGGAGCAAAGAGAAGGACCTATAAACTGCTCAATATATATTCCTTGACCCCAGTGAGAGTATAAAACTGCTCGGAGGAGTGGGGGTGAAGAAGCAGTGGGGGTTTACATGTATTTATACCACCCACAGCCACTGTAATCAGCAGGGCCATTGATACCCTATGCTTCAGAATGTATGAGGTTTGTTTATTCCCTTTCTTTCCTGTGAACAGAGTCCAGGAAGGCGAGTAAAATCTGGTAGTTAGAGACAGAAAGTACATTGAAGTTTTGGGATGAAAGTACAGTTTTGCAAAGGGCATTGACATTCATCCCAATAACTATTTATGTGGACCTACTGTGCATCAGGTACTAATTGATATTGTCCTAGGTTTTAGGGATAAGCATGGAATAAGGTGGCCAAGGTCTTTACTCTCATGGCAATTACAAAATAGCAGGCAGGACACACAAAATCCTAAGGAATAAACAAGATAGTTTCAAATAAAAATCATAATATCTAAAAAGAAATAAAATAGGGTGAGGTGGTAGACAGATCCTGTGGGTAGGAATCGGGCAAGGCACCATCCCTCTGAGGCCACTTTTAGCCACCACACTCAAGTTTGATTGGGCCAGTCAATTCATCTTCAGAGCTGTGTGAGTAGCAGGGCCGCTATTCCTGGACCATATGTCTGTACAGAGGGATTGGGGTTGAAAGGTCAGATGGAAGCTTTGGTCCTGGCCAACTGGGCTGTGTGCAGAGGCCAAGGCCAAGTTTGGCTGTGGGGAGCTATATTAAGCTTGCCAAGTGCTGGGGAATCTCAGCAGCCTGAGACCCTGAGCAGTGTTCTGGGCTTGGACTCCGGAACCACACTGCAGCAAAGCTTTGCCCAGTTAACGAGATGACACTGGACAAAAGGCCTTGGTGTTAGCTACAGTGAGCTGAACTCTGGATTGTCTGGGTAGATTATTCCTATGCATCCTGCCTTCCTCATCCAGGACTGGTCTGAGAGGGATTCATGATGGAAGCATGTTTGTTCTGTGACCTGGGTCTCGCGTAAGTACGATTTGGGGGTGCAGGGAGGAGGAACTGTCTAGGGGTGGGAGCAGAAGGCAGGGCCAGTGTCCTACTCTGTGCTCTGTCATTTCGTTGTTTGTGCTTCTCTTTTTGCAGTTGTTGGATTTTTTGAGCTTAAGGAGTAAAGAGATCGGAACTGGTACGATGAAGGCAGAAATTGTGTAATCTTTTGCAAACCACTTTAACTTGTTTCTGTTTCAGTTTCCTTTTCTTTATCGTGGAGTGACAAATACTTGCCCTGATTACCCTACAGGGATCTTTTTAGGCCTGTCAAAGAAGATGTGGATTTAAAAATCACTTCTCCACATGTGCAGTGCTCTATAGCCGTAAGTTGGTATTATTAGGATTATTCCCAGGTGATAGTATTATATACTTAGGTCATTCAGGTGTCCGGTGTTTCTGAAAGGTTCTAGAGAAGTTCATTTCAACAAGCATTTATTGAACCAGGCCCAGTACTGGGCATTGGAGATACCAAAAATGTGTATGAGATTCAATCCCTGCCCTGGGGAGCATCTAAGTGGAGTGATGCAGTTTCTAAAGACATCAATATATAATTGGGAAGATATTGATGTACTTTTTAGATAATGTGATATAGGAAACATTTTTCTGAGTGTGTTTGCATGCGTGTGTGTATGTGTTTGATACTGCATCTTTGTCAGCATGATGTCTGCTGGCTGGACTCCAGAACGGGCCTCACAGATCTTTGCGATACTCCTGTCTTTTTCTCCCTTCCTGAACTCTGCAGCCTGACCTGGGCTCTATCACTGCTAATTTCTGCTTAGGTATTCATTGATAACTGAATTATTATCCTCTTAAGTCTGTTTGCATTTTTATAGAAAATAAATAAAAATTGCAAATGTTAGAGCTGGAATAGACCTTAAAGTTCATCTCATCTGATGATTTAAAAAAATTAAGTCATCAAGTCTTCTTCGGATGAAAGCATATTTGGAAGCCCAATATACACATAAGATAAAAACAGATCTGGTTGAGCCAGGGACAAAAGACTTGAAGCCCCCCAGCGACACACACACTTACCTAGAAATGGGGAAATAGAGTCTTTGCTAAGTGAAGTGACCTGATTAGGAAGTGGCAGGTTTAGACCAAACCCATGTTGGAGGTTCAGGCTTATTACTCTTCATGATGAAGGCCCTAACTAAATTAAGGCTGTGCGACTATAAGGGTTCTGCTCCCTGTAACAGGAGCGCCTGCCTGCAGCCTAACCTTTGGTGGAAGGATTTGGGCTGAACACAGCTCAGAAATGCAGGACTCAATGTTCAAGGATGGCTCCAGAAGCATGCAGAATGAATTGGTTCCTGGCTGAGTCTGCAAAAGGGAAGACAATCCGGCAGACAAGTATGTTTCTTTTCTGTTCTCAGGGAGCAGCCGGCTTGCGTGCAGGAGCAGATAGGAGTTGCCTGGTGAATCCCAGCTCTAAAGTGCTTATTTCAGTAGACTGTTTCTAATGGAACAAGACAGCCGGGATTGGGGGACTTGGGGACCAGGCAGCTAATGGGTTTATGCTCTGATGGCTGCCTTTGATCTCATCTGCCATTGCTCTGAGCCCAAAACAAACCCCAAGCCAGCCAGAGAGATGGGCAGAGAAAATATCAACCCACCTGTCTCACTGCCCCCCCTGCCACTATCCACTCATGAAGAGGAGGAGTGTTGGAGAGGGACTGCTGGCTCAGACTGGGAAGAAAGTGCCCCAAAGCAAGTCTGCTCCTTCAGGGGCTCCTGGCCAAGGAGGTGGGGAAGGAAGCTGCTAGGGAAGGTGAGGATTGAGGATCGCCTGTCACCCAAGGCAGACAATGTGGTGAATGGGGAATGATGATCTAGGATCCAGGATCCTGGGGTTCTGGCTCCAAGCAGTCAGACCTGGTAAGGTACCTAACCTGGTATCTGGGAAGGTGCAATAGCCTCGGATGTCTCCTTCAATCTTTCCTCATGCTCTACCTCTTTTACTATATTATTGAGATAGTTTCATGTAATTATTTCTCTGCTCCAACCCTCTAGTGGCTGCTTATTGCTTCCCAAACTAAATCCATTCTCCTAGCCAGACAATTCAGCTTCTAGGCTCTGTCATAGCCCACTTCTCAGCATTATCTCCCATCCATCCACTGGACATGTTTGCTCCACAAACACCTGGGATTCCCTCTAGGCCGCTGCTCTCAAAGCCTTCTGCCCATCACTAGCCCATCCAAATCCTATCCATTCTTGAAGGCTGTCACATCCCAGCTCAAATGCCACTTCCTTCATAAAGCCTTCCCTGATCTCAACAGCGTGTGATCTTTCCTTCTTAAATGATCCAAACTGACTTTTAATCTCATTAATGGCCAGTTCCTTGAGGCAGTGCCTGCATCTCACTCTGTTTTGGATCTCCATATTGTTCCTGAATAAACAAATGAATAAACCCACTTTAAGGCTCATGTGCTTATCTGTAAATAGGAAGACCTCTTAGGGTTGTTGTGAGGATTAACATAATTAATCAGCAGTGAGCAAGCTTTCCACAGATGGTAGCAATGGCAATCATTACGCTCTGTGGTTGCTGCAGGCTGGTGGTTATGGAACTGGCCCTGCTGGAGTTGGGGGTAGGAGGAGAAGGAAGGGTGAGGTCCCCTTGAGCCTCAGGTGATAGATCTTCCTTATTCCCATGACTTTTCTTGTCCATCTGAGGACTTGGGGACAGAGCCATGGTCAGCTAGAGGGCTCTCTCTGTGGGCTCATCTGACCTAAAGTTCTTCCATTTCATGAGTCAGATCCAAGTGCTAATCTCTGTTTCTTTGAGGCACTTGAGGAAAGTTATTGCCTAGAAGTCATGCTACAGCAGTGGTTCTTAACCCTGGATGCACATTAATGTCATCTGGTGAAATTAAGAAATGCCAGAGCCGGCCATGTGCGGTGGCTCTCCCCTGTAATCCCAGCACTTTGGAAGGCCAAGGCGGGCAGATTGCCTGAAGTCAGGAGTTCGAGACCAGTCTGGCCAACATGGTGAAACCCTGTCTCTACTAAAAATACAAGAAAAATTAGCCAGGTGTGGTGGCACGCACCTGTAATCCCAGTTACTTGGGAGGCTGAGGCAGAGGAATTGCTTGAACCAGGGAGGTGGAGTTTGCAGTGAGCCGAGATGGCGCCACTGCACTCCAACCTGGGCAACAGAGTGAAACTCTGTCTCAAAAAAAGGAAAAAAATAAATAAATAAAAAAAGAAAAAGAAAGAAATGCCAGAGGCAAGGCCCTACCTCTCAGACTCATGGAATCAGAACCTCAAGACATGGAGTCCATGTTTTTTTCAAAGCCCCCAGGATTGAGAACCTCCACGTTTTTTCCCAAAGCCCCCAGGATTGAAAACAAGTGTGCTACATGAAAACAAAGCAAAATGCTGGTTACAAGCTCCACATGTCTTCTCATAGCCTTGTATAAAAAAAGGGGCGGTGCAAGAAGAGAGAGAATTCTTCTATCACTTATGTGTTGTCATTTATTGTGCAAATTAAGTTTAAAAAATTAATAGTGATGTTGATTTCAAAACAAAGCACCAAAGGCTGTGTCTTTTATTTTTTGTATCCCTCATAACGTTAACTGAGAGCCTCTGTTTGCCTCCTGTGCTCACTAAATATTTGCTTAGTGAATTGAAAAAGCTAGTGAATTTAGAAGGAACCTAGCTTAGGCTCTATTGTAGTTTCTGTTTTATTGAACCTTTTTTCTGTCCCAAAGGCCTTGAATAGAGAGGAAAATCGTACTTTGATTCAGTTTGAGAATTATTGTCACTCTGGTTAGGCAATATGATTCAAAATTCAGACAAACTATGGAAAGTCAGTGGTTCCTAACCCCTAAACGTTTACCTCTATTGGACACTTACACACATGCATATCCTGCGCCACCTTCATTTGGACTTGCTTGTAAGTGTTCTTATTTTTTTGGTGCATGTTCTGACTCCTTGATGACATTGTACGTTTTTGAGGAATGAGAGATATACCTTCTGGGTTTCTATCACTGATGGGATGACTGGCTCAAATTTATTCAACTTGCTTTCTTTGGTGAATACAAGACACTTAGCTGCAGTTTCTTAGGAATCTTCCCAAGAACACTGGGAGCTACAGGGATGGTGGTGGGGAACTGATATTCACTTAAAATAAGGGATGTATTTGAGTTAGCATCTTCAGTGTGCTTGCAGAGATGACCACTACACATGTCCTTTTTCATTTTACTGTGAACTCCTTCTGGGTGTGTATTTTTCTTTGCCTTTGTACTCCAGAGCCTGGCACAGTGTCTGGCATGCTGAGTGCCCAGGGAATGTCTGTTGATTGACTAATGAATGAATTTGCGTTGTTTTGCTTGGCTCTCTTAGAGTGTAAGTCTTTAGCCTGAAGGCCATAGCTCCTCTTGCAGCATGGCTGAATAGGCAGTCAATAGCTGATAAAAATTTAAAAATACACAGTTGACATTGTCCTGGGTGTGTAATTTGGCATGGATTTCTAGCTCAAATAAAACATATAAGTAAAATGAATGAAAGCAGAGAGACTCTAATGGAGATGTGTTGTGATTTTTGGTTTAGGTTTTGGCTTCTAGAAATAATTTTGTTCCTCCTATGGCACTTTTACCCCTCCCTTAAGTTCATCTCACAGATAGTCAGTTTCAAATACTCTGTACTTGGAAACTGTTTCTTGAAATAGAACTTGTTTTTTCTTGAGTGTGCCCTCGTTGCCTTAGGCCTTGGGGATTGAGTTTACTCTGGCTCTGTGCTTTACAGTATTTTTTTCTCTTGCAGCTAAATGTGGTCAACAGCGTCAGCAGTTCAGAGGACATCAAGCCCTTACCAGGGCTTCCTGGGATTGGAAACATGAACTACCCATCCACCAGCCCCGGATCTCTGGTTAAACACATCTGTGCCATCTGTGGAGACAGATCCTCAGGTACATGCAGAAGCAGACAGCCCCCGAAAAGTGCCACAGAAAAGGGGTTGCTCACTGCCTGCCTGGATACTTTGTACCCAATGAAAGGAAAATGGCCCTTTAGGATGGGCTAACTGGGGACCCGCCTGTACATTTCTGTCACTGGGTTCATAGGTTGCCGTTCTGATGAATTTAAAGTATGGCTTTATTTTTTGAGGATGAGATTTACAGGAAGCATTTCAGAAACCCTTCTCTGGGGTCACACTATTACACATGTATCTGCGCGACAGAAGCTGTTGTGATTATCAAGTATTTCTGCCGGGTGTGGTGGCTCACACCTATAATCCCAGTGCTTTGGTGTAGTCCCAGCTACTTGGGAGGCTGAGGTGGGAGGATGGCTTGAGCCTGGGAAGTCAAGCCTGCAGTGAGCCGTGATCACGCTACTCCAGCCTGGGCCACAGAATGAGACCTCGTCTGAAAAAAAAAAAAAAAAAAAAAAAAAAGGTATTAAGAAAAATCCCTCCCAAATAAGCAATTGTAAAAATAATGTCCTAATGTAGAGGATTTGAACAAACTAGAAAACTCTAAAGAAAAAGTAAAAAAATTACCCATAATGTCCCCAAGGAAGATAAACCCTTTAATATTTTAGCATATCTCCTGCTATAACATTCTAGGTTTTCAATATGTTTTTATAGGCAGGAATAAATGTGTTTTCACCAACTTATCTTTGATTCTCTTCTCCTTTTCTCAGTTATTTCTTTCCTTGCTTCTTTCCTCTCCATTCTTCCTGCTCCATATTTCCGTCCCCACCAATTTTGAACACATCTGAATCTCTGATTTGATTATTTGAAGAATAATAAGAGGAGGAGGTTATTTTCTTTTCTATAGCTGTCCATGATGGCTAACTGAATATTTCCTTATCCTCTTAATGTCACCAAAGTCACTACAGAATGTCACTCCGTTGGAAGTTCCAGGCACCTAGAACTTACCTAGCTGAATGACTGATGTTTTCTTGCTCTCAGAAAATACTTCCCAAATCATGCAGACTTGGCCATTGCCATAACAGCACACCAGCCACAGTCCGACAGAGTGTTTACTCTGCTATGCTTATTCTAGTTGAAAGTCTATGAGGTTCATTTAAATATTGAAAAGCCATAGGAGTGACTATGTCACACAGTTGAAAAATTGGTCCCATATTTCTCTAAGACAAATATTTCAGAGCTGAGAGCACTGGGTTTTCTGGGCCCAAGATAAAATCCCGTATTTATCATTACTGTGAGTTCAGCATTGTGAAAAGCCAGCCTGTAGTATGGTCAACTAATGAGGCACAGATTGGCTTTTCTTCAGGCAGGCTATCTCTAACCATCATTTCATCTTAGAGTGGCTTCCTCTGAACTGTAAGCTCCTGAGGTGCTGGAAACCTAAGTAAAACAGAATTAGAAAGTCATGTCACTTCTGCAGCTCAGTGACATCACATTACATTCAAGAATCAGACATAAATATGTTTTGAATGATTTGTTTCCTTATATTTTTGAAGTTCCGTAATTTCAATCAATCAAGCATAATGCCTGGTGCATAGTATTGAGAAGACTTTTACCTAGAAAAAGGATTGTGATTGATTCATGATGCCTGTGTGAGGATGGGCTTGGTGGCCCTCCTGACACAAATTAGCTGCCCCTGCTTGGGGTAATTGAAAACCGCATGTGTGGAGCAGGTAATAAGGACAGTAAAACGCATGTGTGGAGCAGGTAATAAGGGCAGTAAAATACGCAACAAATTAGTCTGGATTAAGCAAAATCATCTTTTTTTTTTTTTTTTGGAGACAGGGTCTCGCTCTGTCACTCAGGTTGGAGTGCAGGGGCATGATCTTGGCTCACTGTAACCTCCGCCTCCCGGGTTGAAGTGATTCTCATACCTCAGCCTCTGGAGTAGCTGAGACCACAGGCATGCGCCACCATGGCAGGCTAATTTTTGTGTATATATATATATATGTGTGTGTGTATGTGTGTGTGTGTATATATATATATGTACATACACACATACATACATACACACACACACACACACATATATAAAAATATTTTTTTTTTGATAGAGATGAGGTTTTACCATGTTAGCCAGGCTGGTCTCAAAACTCCTGACCTCAAGTGATCTGCCTGTCTTGGCCTCCCAAAGTCTGGGATTACAGGCATGAGCCACCATGCCTGGCTGCAAAATCAGCTTCTATCAGATCTTTGTGTCATAGCTTGGTTGTCACATGATGAAATAAAGATCAAATAGCAATTAATTTCCTCAACAGGCAATAGCACTTAAAAATTCATAACTCAGAATTCTGTTCATAGTTTATGGTAAAGGATAATAAATTTAAATGGGTTTCCTAAGAACTTGGGTCTCAATTATAGGAAATATTAGTTAGGCTGGGATTCTTTTCCTGCTAGGTAATATGTGACAAGCATATATATTTTTATTTATTATTTACACTAATATTTTGAATGGAAGCAGAACATTTGCTTAACTAAACCCAAGAGTTACCTTCATAAAATAAATGTAAAGAAAGCCTTAGCTTTAGGAATTTTCTAATAATTCTATCTGGAATTAGCAATGCAGAGGAAAGAGACAAGGAAAGGTGTATTTGCTCTGTCTGAGTTTAGTTCCTGTGATTAAGCCTGCATTCTCTGCTAGTTATTATTTGCTTTCTGTCCCAGTGCCCAAGTGATGTGCCTGTTTCTCTGGGGAAGAACCAAGAGGTTCTTTTGAATGAAAGATCCAAATAAACACAAGAACAATCTATGGAATGTTCTTTTCTTGTAACCAGGAAAGCACTATGGGGTGTACAGTTGTGAAGGCTGCAAAGGGTTCTTCAAGAGGACGATAAGGAAGGATCTCATCTACACGTGTCGGGATAATAAAGACTGCCTCATTGACAAGCGCCAGCGCAACCGCTGCCAGTACTGTCGCTATCAGAAGTGCCTTGTCATGGGCATGAAGAGGGAAGGTGAGACACATTCAATTCTAATACTCGTCTCTGGAGAGAGGCATTTCCTAGGGCAAGGGGACATTCAACCATAATACACGAGAAGTCGTGGTGCCCAAAGTCATCCTAATTTCCCCTTCAAACTTCTTCCCCACAGGGCTCTCAAGAGAAGTCTGATTGGGGGTTAGGATAACTTTGGGTACCATGACTTCTCGTGTATTGCAATTGAATGTGCCTTGTCCTAGGAGATGTGTCTCTCCAGAGAAGAGAGGGCAAGAGGCGTCTTCCTCCTCCACTTTACCCATCCTCTTCTGGAGCCCAGATGGTGATCCCCAAACTGGACCATCTCCTTTTTTCTTCCAATAACCAGGCAGCAAGTCTCAGAGCCAAGGTTTCAGGGTCCTCATGCTCTGTTCTACCGATGGATCGTCAGACTGACCTTCAGGGTGGAGGTGATTTTTCTCCCTTAATCCTAGGTCTCTCTCTAGGGAAAACTGCAGGTTTGATTTCACTCACTGAGCTTTTTTTACCCGGGTCTTCTATCAATCCTTTGATATTGGTATATTCCATCATCTTTTGGCATTACTGGCATTACACAGGTTTGATAGGCCTGGCCTTCCCATTCAGAGAGACCACCATTGTGTGTTGAAAACATCACATCTTTTAATTTTTAGTGTGGTTTAGCTGGGTATTCTAGTATCAGAGAAAATACCTCAGAAGGTGCTTTCTGTTCCATTAGTAGATGGAAAAGTGTTTCCATTAAGTAGCACAGATAAATTGAAGTGGGCAGTTAATTAACTAGCGAGCTCAAGCAGGGACATGGGGATAGTGGTGAATTTAATAGATTTTAGAGTAAGAAGGTCCTGCCTTTCTTTAGGAAATAAGAACAAGGAGTTCAGTCAGTTAGGCCCAGCATGCTCCTCATTCTTGAGGAACTTCTTTTCTGTGAGGAGAGGGCATCTTACTGAAAGGGTCAGTGAAGAGGGGTTCTTTGTGTCCCTGCTAAAATGAATGTCACCCACAAGCAAACAAATTATTGGAATCTTAACATGTCAAAATGCTAGAGGTGGCCTTACAGGGTGACCTAATCAACTGTAACCATCCGCCAGATGAGAAAACAGGCTCAGAGAGGTGAACGGAGTTTTCTGAGGTGCCAAAGGCAGGCAACGAATTGACCCCAGGTCTCTGACTCTCAGATCGGTGCTAGTCTGTGTCTCCTTCCCTACCAGGTTGTGAAGGAACTGAGGACAGCCCTCGCCGTGACATCTAACGGCAACCTCAAAAGTGAGAGACCCAAATCTCAGCTCCTGATAATCTGCCTCACACCCCAGCCTGTTCCTCACACAGTCTTCCCCTTTCAGGAAATGGCCACTTATTTTCCAGTTGCTCAGAACAAAAACCATTGACTCCCCTCTTTTTTTCACACACCACATGTAGTGGGTGAGGAAATCTTGTCTCTTCCTCAAAATATGTCCAGAATCTTTCCATGTCTCACTACTTTTACCACTAAACCCTCAATCCAAGCTACCCATATCTTTTGCAGTGATCTACATAGCATCCTAAAACATCTCCCTCTTTCCACCTCCTACAGTCTCTTCTTAGCACAGTAACCAGAGCGAGGCTTTGAACAAGTAGATTGGGTCAAGGTATTCCTTCACCAAAATCCTCCAGTGTCTTTCCTTCTCACCCAGACAAAAAGGCAAAAATCTCTGTCACGACTTAAGGTTGTACGTGGTCTGGATGCCTTGTTGTCTCCCAGCCTCAGCTATTCTGGTCTTTTTGGTGCTCCTCAAATATTTCAGAGATGTGCCCACCTCAGGGCCTTTGCACTTGCCGTCTGTCTAGAATGAATTTTCTTTTTTTCAAGTATCTGCATGGCTCACTTCTTCTCATCCTTTGGATCTTTACTCAATTCTCACTTTCTTGGTAAAGCCTTGCCTGGCTATACCATCTAAAATTGCACCAGCCACCGCCAACCCTTCCTTGTGTCTTTTACACACCACTTACCACTATCTAACACTTGTACTTATCTTGTTTACTGTCTGTATCCACGAAGGTGGGGGCTTTGTCTGATTTTTTCTCCCCCGCTGCTTTATCACCAGTAATCAATACACTGTAGCCATTTAATAAATTGTTGAATGAGCAGTTTAAACTGAATGCTGAAATCGGAAGTTTTAGAAGTGCAGGAGCTCCTAAAAATGACTCATTCATTTATTCATTGAGTATTAGCTGAGTGCCTACTCTGTGCTTACGTCATACTTGCTGTGGCAGTGGGATCAATGATGTTACAGATTGGAACATACGATATGAAATACCTGCTGGTGAAGAACATCTTTTTTTCCACCAAGATAGAACTGATACTTCTTGGAGCTTCCCCCACCATGATTATCAAAATGAAACTAATGACTACAAGTATTTCTCCCATTAACAAGAGCCCAGTGGCCGCAGGGTCATTTTTTCCTCCTAAAACACTTGAGATAAGTTTCCAGTTGACTTGGAAAAATAAGTTTTCATCAAGCACATGATATTGAATTAAAAGAAAGTGAATGGTCTCAGTCAGAGAAACCATCATTTCTATTTCTCTAGAGTTAGTCTAATCCATTTCTGGAAACGCAGGCTGAATATCTCCAGCTCAGTTAGGGACCGAGTGGTCAATGGGTGAAATGTTGGGAAATGTGGTTTGTTAACTGTTTTTTAAAAAGGAAGGAAAACAGGGACATGTGAACTGTAAGAGACTAGGCACTCCTTCTTGTATGGCTTGGGTACTTTAATAGAAAATTGGACCCAGTTTTTGCTTCTGCATTTTTTAAAAGACTATGGAGAAACAGAAAGAATAGTGAAAAGCTGAGTAGTAAAAATTAGCAGAGGAAAATGAGCTGTTAGGGAACTTTCTAAAGAGATTGGCACCATTTACCCTGACAAAGAGAAGGCAAAGAGGTGAATTAGTTCCTCCTCTTGCTATATAAGGGGTCACATTCAAAAGGCTACTGGATAGCCTGTCCTTCACCGCCATCATTTCTGGTCTTGATTTATAGAATTTGGGGTTCCGTTTGGACACTTTCTTGAGGACAAGAATAATAACATCCTGGAGCAGATAACAGAGAGACCATGGAAATCACACAGATAAAGAGATGGAATTGGGGTGGGCACAGAGTTTACCTGCCTGGGACCAGGGGCCAGGACCTGTTGCCCTTTTAGGATACATAATGTTAAAGCCAGAGTGGACATTTTCTATTCTCTAATGTAACACGTCCATTTCCTGAAGGACAAATCAGAGGTTCAGAGAGCCTAGGGACCCACACAAGCTCACACAGCAAGCACATGGCAGACCCTGTATAGGACTGGGACCCTCTGATTCGCAGGCCACCTCAGGAATTCTGGAATGTCTATTTCCATGATTTCTCATCATATACATGTAGTTTTAAGACTGGAGAATGGATTACCTTTGAGGCTGTTCGTGGGCAGCATTGACATCCTTGTGAGCCCTGTGTGGTCTTTATTACTAGACCTAGCCCAGTACTTTGGTGGCAGTATTGAGAGGTTAGAGATGGGCCCAGGAGGAGCCATTGTGGGTGTATGTGCTGGTTCCACCATGGCCTACCACATGCCCTCAGATATGTTACCAGTTTCTCTGTGGCTCGTAATATGTCAGAGGGTTATTGTGAGGATTAAATGAAATTTAATCTATTTAAAATGTTGAGCACAATTCCTGACACAGAGAAAGAGCTTCATAAATGTTGGCTATTGTAATGAGTGCAAAATAAACACATGTTGGATGAATGGTTAAAATCCTTTCTAAGGCAGGAGTTTGGTTCTATTTTTGATCATCCAGGGTTCCCTGGATGTACCCTGATGTGTGTCGTAATAGGAGCTCAGAATGTCTGACATGTAGAAGCTACCCCCCAATAACAATATATGACTCCTCATTTATGACAGGAAGATTTAAAGCACAAAGAGGAAAAGTGAACAGCAAAGGGTTTGCTCAGTTAATGGCAAAACTAGAATTAGAATCGAATGCCCTGACACCAAGGATATTTTCTTTGAAGCTTGAAGGTTATTTTCCTTGAGTGTTACAAATCTGTAGAAGACATTGACTGAGGACCACGAATGAAACTTAACTTAGTTTGCTTTCCCTCATCTTTTAAAGTCAAGACAAATAGAAGCTCATAACCTACCTTTAAAAAATTAATACAAGAAGCATTCAACATTTCCCAGTAAATCCAAATATAATAAAAAATACATATTATAGTTTCTACATATTGCCAGTGAATGAAGGCTGACAGAGTGAGCAGCAAGTAAGGATGAGACAGAAAGAGGAAGAACAACAGGAGAGAGGGGAAGAGGCCAAAAAGGGAGATGGAGAGATGAGCCCAAGGGGGTAAAAAGACACAAAGGCAAAGAGGAAATAACTATTTGTATTGAGTTTTTATAATTGCTTCGTCCATCCCTATGATACTATTTCAGTTAACTACCGAAGAGTACCAACCTTAACTAAGTGCCAGCCTTAACCATCTCAGTTAATCCCTGCTTTACAGATAAGGGAATTGGGGCTTACCAGGCTCAGTCATATGGCCAATGCCACTTAGCAGGGAAGGGGTAGAGTTATATGTGAAAAAGGTTTCTTTGACTTTAAGGCACATGTTTTTTTGCCCTTCTTTTCCCTATTTTCTCCTCTCTGTTCTCTCTCCCTTCTGTTTCCTCTTTTTCTCACCGTTTTCTTGTCTCTTTCCCTTGTTCCTTTTCTTCTTTCTACCCTCTTTGCCTCTCTCGCAACCACACAGTACCATTCTTGTCTTGAAGCTTTGTGGCGCATCTCCACTAAGCTTGGGAGTGTAAGTTGTGTTTTTGCAGTCATACCCTTCTCTGACCTATCCTGAAAGACTGATATGGCTTGCATGACAAACGAGATGTTCAGCATCGCGGTTCTAGTCCATTCTGCAGCCTCTGGGGCTTGTTATCTCCTCAGAGAGTAGGAGGCACTCTTGCAAGTGGACTGTGGGGAGGAAGGGAGAGAAACAGAAATAGGAGCTGCTAGTGGAGTAGCTGTCATGGAGTTTCAAGCTAGTCACCTGCTTAAAGGATAATTTTCCTGACTCTTGGGATGTAAAAAATGTGTTCTAATATTGAATTCTGTTTATTGCTGCTGTGAATAAGATGGAAACTACAGCCGTCTAGATGATGGAAACTAACCCAACAGAGACTTTTCTCCTGATGAAGAGCATAGAATTAGAGGGGGCAGCAGTCTGCTTTCCATCCTAATGTATAGACATGGAGGATTCTGAGAGTTGCCCTGAACCTTGATGAAAACCCTAAGCTTTGGAGAGGCTGAGATAATTCCAGCCTACACCTTTGCCTATGTACCCTCCCCCACCTCCAAAATCAGCCACTGATTCTGAAATGTCATCTAGGTGACATCCCTCCACCCCTTCACTTACTAAATACCCACAGCTGGCTCCCTGAAAATCTTCCCTGACAAGTCGGATCAGGTGATGTTGTGTTCAAGCTGGTGCACTAGGGGCAGACCTAATGGGACGTGAATGCCAAGGATGATGCATAGGATCTGACAGAGGGAGTTTTTAAAGTAATGTGCTTGCTACTTAACTATTTCATGCTCACAATTTTATAGAGGCAGCAGGTAGAGCAAGAATGTGGGGATCTGCAAGGATAGCAAGGAGAGGGTGGCCCATTAAAAGAGAGGATATAATTAGAGTTTATTAAAGCTTAAAATGCATACTTCTTAGTGTGATCACCATAATGCATTGGAAAGAATATGCACTAAAGAACCCCGCATTCTGCATAGGCGTAAGCAAACAGCTTTGCTTTCCTTGTTTCATCTGTCAACATTACAATATCCCCAATTCAGGATCCCCTTTCATAGATGAGTACATTGAGGCTTAGGTGGGTAACAAACTTTCCCACTGTAGTCCTGGGCATTATGGTAACCTCTGCATGTCCTGCTGCATGTCAGCTGTGCAAGAAGAAAGACAGAGGAGCCGGGAGCGAGCCGAGAGTGAGGCAGAATGTGCCAGTAGTGGTCATGAAGACATGCCTGTGGAGAGGATTCTAGAAGCTGAACTTGCTGTTGAACCAAAGACAGAATCCTATGGTGACATGAACATGGAGAACTCGGTATGTGCTCCATTTCTTGGGTAGGACTGGAAATGGGAGAAAGGGGTGTATTTGAGTCCTGGGACCTGTCCCTCACAGTACTTTGTTCCTCTTTCAGACAAATGACCCTGTTACCAACATATGTCATGCTGCTGACAAGCAGCTTTTCACCCTCGTTGAATGGGCCAAGCGTATTCCCCACTTCTCTGACCTCACCTTGGAGGACCAGGTCATTTTGCTTCGGGCAGGTAAAGCATATTGGCTGCCTTTTTCCCTGGGACAGTTTTGAAATTGCTCCCAGGATCCTAAAAAAAAGTAACCTGATGGAGCTGCAACATGTCCAAGCTATGTACCATGTTGATGATGAAATAACCCTATGCAGGTTTGTTCATTCCCAAATGAAGCATTGTTAATGAGGGAGTGGGACTCTCTTCCCATGCAAATTTTACCATGGCTTTATAATTTGCATACATTTTTAAAAGACTATTAAATCATTTTTATTGAGGATAATTTGAAGCAGTGCCTCATTATTGTAATGAAATTGGCAAATAGAGATATTCCCATTTCATAGGTGAGATAAAGAAGCCAAAGATGTCTGCTCAAGCTTATACTAGATGGGTTCCACGATCTTCCTATTTTAAGACTCAATGTACTGTATTTTCTCTTGCCTCCTATTTCTGGGACACTTGCAGGCCACTGACATATGCCATATCTCCTATTTGTCACTGAGCCAGCAGGGAAATTTCATGAAGATTGGCTGAGCATTGGGAACCAGTCCACTCATTCATCCCTGTTAGATAATGAACACTCACTGAGTGTCAGCTGAAAGCTACAGACTGTGTTGGGTGTTACTAGACAATGCCAAAGAAATAAAACTAGGTTATCAGGTCCTGGGGGCAGAAACTGCAAGGTATATTAGCTTTATCCACCATGGAAGCTAACATAGTGACCATTATCTGCTAAATGTTCAATCCACATTTGTTGACTGATTAAAAAAAATAGAATCATTGTCCTCAAGCTGTCATTCTGAGTTGCATCTGAGAGAGAGTGGGGGATGTGCAGAGCCATGTCAGGAGACCCCAGTCTTATCCTTTGTTTCTTCACTAATTAGCTGTGTCATCTTGAACTAATTCTTAACCTCCCTAGATTGTCAATTCTGCTTGTGTTATGTGGAATAATAGTACGTGCCTTGGGTGATTATAAATAAAGAAAGAATGTGGTCTGTTTTCCCTCAAGACCTCCTCTTTATCCTTGCAGGGTGGAATGAATTGCTGATTGCCTCTTTCTCCCACCGCTCAGTTTCCGTGCAGGATGGCATCCTTCTGGCCACGGGTTTACATGTCCACCGGAGCAGTGCCCATAGTGCTGGGGTCGGCTCCATCTTTGACAGGTGTCTCTCTTCTGCTTCCAGTATTTGTGTGTATTATGTGTGTGTGTGTGTACACGTGTGTGTGTGTGTACACATGTGTGTATACATGAATTCTCATGTGGGTATGAACCTCTGGGTAGTGCTGGGAGGAAGGATGGGCAGACCAGTTAGCTGCACATGACCATGCAGAGCCCACTAGGCACATGAAACTATAAACCTGGGGAATGAGGGAGAGAATAAAAGAAAGGTTGAGATCACAATAAGATGGAGCCAGTCAGAGGCCAGCATAGTTGCCAGGCAGATAGGAGAATCTGTTCTCCCAATGGGTTTCCCAGGGAGAGATCAGATCTTGACATCAGCTAGTAAGTTGTGGGTGGAGAGGGTGAACTGTTTATCCTAGGGGCCAAGGATGGGAAAGGGATCAGGATCTGTCCTCAAGAAGCCAGGCAAGATGGACTGTTTATGCTGGGCTCTGGATGATCTCAGAAGGAGGCCTGCAGCAGGAGCAAATCCATCTTGGTCAGGCAGGGACACCCTGACAGAAGTTCTGTGCCTTAAATGATACTAAAGGAAAATTAAGCCATCTGACAAGGAGTTGAATAAAATGAGTAGTTGATGACTTGAGAGTGAGAGGATGGAGAACTGGTAAAGAGGAGAATTAAGTTGAAATTAATCTCTCTGTCCGATGCCAGGGCCCCGTGGCCCCTTTCCACCTCCATTGTAAATGGTCTTCTTTGGTCATGTGCACATCCACTGAGCTGTCTCTACTACCTCCCTGCCCTTTCCCACATGTTCCATGTAGAGCCCAACATGGTGTTTGGAATGACTCGTCCCTCTTTGTGGTGCCCGGACCTTTCTACCAGTTCACTGAATGCTGCCCTCTGCTGTGTTTTTCTAGACCTGCAATCCCCTTACCTTGCTTTGCCTGTTGCGTTTTTAATTTCCAAGACATCCATGATGCCTTTCTGTTTCCCTGCATTCATTGCTTCCTCTTTGGAGCCCACTTGGACTTTGCTCATGGCAGTTATATTCCTGGGCATCGTGCTGCTGCTTGTTTTCATGTCTGTTTCTTTAGTTAAACTGTAATCTCCTTGCAATGAGTGGTTGCATCTTTTACATTTCTGTACCCCTCGTAACTGGTACATCGTCTGACAACAGGGTGGGCATATACACATTTTGGATGAATTCATTTTATTGACTCTTCGCCTGTTACTCATGGTTTTCTCATTACCCTCTTGTTTCCTGTTAACAGAGTTCTAACTGAGCTGGTTTCCAAAATGAAAGACATGCAGATGGACAAGTCGGAGCTGGGGTGCCTGCGAGCCATTGTGCTCTTTAACCCAGGTAACCACCCTTGGACCCCAGGGGATGTGTGTGTTCACCCCTCTCCACTGTCAGCCTCCAGTGCTCCCATGTTGTTGGTCCTCCAGCTCAGCTGAGACAGAGACGGCAGAGCCAGGAATCCAGGAGAGCTCACAGTGTCAGCTAGAGCCATCTTGAAAAATGTTTTGAATGGGTGTGGCAGGCACATGCCTGGGGCAAGTGGGGAAGATGAAAGATGATGGTGGCCCAGGGTGGCAGTGAAGGGGGTGGTAAAAAGCGGTCAGATTATAGATATATTTCTAGGTAAAGCCACTGTGATTTGCCGATGGATTGAATGTAGAATGAGAAAGAAAGAAAGGAGTTAAATATGACTCTCTGTTTTTTTGTTTTTTGTTTTTTAAAGTTTTGTTTTCCTGAACAATGGGAAAAATGAAGTTCTCTTCACTGAGAAGGGGAAAATTCCATGAGGAGCAAGTTCTGAGAGTGGGTGGGTAGGAATCAGGATCTTGTCTTTGGACATTAAAATAGGAGATGGGTAGTAGATATCCAAGAGTGGCTTCCCAGGAAGCAACTGCTCATATGAGCCTGGACTTCATGGGAGAAGCCATGTGCATCCGAGAGCTGTCAGCCTCTGCCTGTGTAAGGCCATGACACTGGGGTGAGATCATCTGGGAAGATAGAGCAGAGAAGACGGCTGGGGACTGAGCCCTGGGGCATGCCAACATTTAGAGGTCAGGGAGAAAAGGAAGAGCCAGCAAAGGAACCTGAGAAGGAGCAGGCAGTGAGATAAGGAGAGAATCAGAAGGGTGGTGTCCTGGAGGCTCGAGGGAAAATAGTCTTTCAAGAAGGAGGCGATCAGCTCCAGCAAACTGCTGTGGTCAAGAAAGAGGAACCTTCAGAATTACGTAATCATTCATGCAGAGGCTTTATCTCCAGAATTAGGCAGTTAGTTCATCAATGCAGGACATGTGCCAGTTCAGCTTTTGTGTCCCATCTTATCACTCAGTCCATGCTTAGCACATAGTAGGCACTCGGTAAATGTGTGCAAGTAATATTTCGAGAATAGTCTGGATAAAATAAAGCTCTTCTCCTTAGAGTCAGTGGTGGGTACATTTGCCTATTCATGGAGTTTAAAATCTTTGCCCTAAGAGTTTTTCGGGTAAATTGGACACGGAAAGAAGAGCAAGGGGGAACGAATGACTAGCTTTGTTTATTTCACACTTGTCCCTATCCAGGGTGTCTCTAGTAACTCTAGGGAGGGTGGCCAGAGGGAATGGGGACAGCCTCTGCTGGAGGGTATGTAATCAAAGGCTAACTCAGTCATCTATTTTAGATGCCAAGGGCCTGTCCAACCCCTCTGAGGTGGAGACTCTGCGAGAGAAGGTTTATGCCACCCTCGAGGCCTACACCAAGCAGAAGTATCCAGACCAGCCAGGCAGGTGAGAGAGTGCTGGCATAATGGCAGTAACAGCAGCAACTACTCCCATTCTTCAACTATTGAGCCCCTAAAGTGCAGCAGGCAAAGTTTAGGTGTTTTCAAATGTTATTTAGTCTTCATAACAAGCTGAAAGCCACAAAAATGTTAATTCCATGGTGATAGCGGCCTTATCTGTCTTATTCACCATTCACTCCTCTAACCTCCACAGGTAAAGCAGTGCCTGACACATAGCACACATCTTTAAATGGAGGATGAATAGCAAACAAATGAATAAATGTGGGAATTATTATCTCCGATTTCTATCAAAAAACAGAACCTCAGAAATGTTAAGTAACTTGCTGAAGACCATAATGCTAGCACGTGGTGGAGGTGAGATGTGAACCCAGTTCGTGTGATTTCACAGAGCCTGTGTTTGAGGTGTGACTGCATTGCTTTCTGGTCTGCCCCCATAGAAACCCCCATGCAGGAGGAAGTACAGGCTTTGGTAGCCAGAAGGCATGGCTGCTGGTCCCCAGGGTGCCATGTGTGTGGCATCTGGGAAGGTGCTGGGTCTGGGTCTGGGCTCCTCATTTGGAAAGGTGGATGTCGGTCTAGCAGATCTCTGAGGCCATCTAGCAGTATAGGTATTTCTGAGTTATTAAAAGATATTCTCAAAAGTTTTTTCCAAAGTACAGCTAAGCCAAAGAGTTTTCCCTCTCTGCTAATGCCAGTTAAAATGAGAAAACATGATCCTCAAATCTCGTAGAAATTGGAAATGAAACTGAAAAGACTGTCTTAAAGACATTAATTTTGTTTGAGGGATTAATTTTACATGCTGCCAATGCTCACTAATTATTTCTATTCCTCTGTGAAGTCTAATATCTACTTAGCTGTTTATCCTGGATCATAAGCCGACATCTAGCAATTGTCCAGAAGAGACTGAGCTGTGTTTTGTGTTGGAGGCTGTGGATGAATTCGAGTAGGTGGGTTTTGGCCCTTTGGTGCAATGAATAGGCAGGGCCTAGTTTATTAGTGAGATGAAGCTGAATAGACCCACCAGATGCCACCAGTTTAACACAAGCATCTATTGCTTGCTCTCAAATCCGGGTGGGCAGTCAGTTCAGAGAGCTGGTTGTCTTGCACGCCATCACTCAGGGACCAAGGCGCCTTTTTTCCTGTGTCTCCACCATGACCCAGAGCCATACTGTGTTTTGCATCCAGATGATGGAAGCTGGAAGAGGTGGAGGAGCAGAGAGGCGAGGCCATATGGGCCAGACCTGGGTCTTAGAGCGCCCTCACCTTTTCCTTCACTTTCATTGGCTGATTCCAAGTCACGTGGCCCAGCTGGCCACAAAGGAGGCTGGAGAATGTACCCTGTTGTATGCCAAGGAAGAGAAGAAAAGATTGGATTTTGGTGAATCTAGCAGTTCACTATAGATGAGATTGAGAGAGCCCTGATCAAGGGGTCAGGACGTGGCTGCCAGCATTGGCTTGGCCTCTGTCAGGTGTGAGCCCTGAGCAAGTCATCTTAACTGAAGCCCTGAGCTGGACGCTTTCTATCAAATCTTTCGTTTTTTGAGCACATATTGTGTGCAGGGCATTAGAAATAATGAGTGTCATACATTTTCCTGAAATTGGCTCTATGACTTGCTGTTTTTCTTTAAAAACCAACAAAAAACTCCAATTCACTTTTTTTCCTAATTATAAAAGCAATACATGCTTTGGTTAAAAAAAAAAAAATTAGAAAAATATTTTTTAAAAATACGCAGTGGCTCACGCCTGTAATCCCAGCACTTTGGTGGGCCGAGGCTGATGGATCACCTGAGGTCCGTTGTTCGAGACCAGCCTGACCAACATGTAGCAATCCCGTCTCTACTAATAATACAAAAATTAGCCCGGTGTGGTGGCATGCGCCTATAATCCCAGCTACTTGGGAGGTTGAGGCAGGAGAATCACTTGAACTGGTGAGGCGGAAGTTGTGGTGAGCCGAGATCGTGCCATTGCACTCCAGCCTGGAGGACAAGAGCGAAACTCCATAAAAAAAAAAAAGCAGATAATAAGAACTTATTGTAAATATTTTGGTATATTTCTTTCCAGTATCCTCATGTATCTATTATATCTTGTGTGTATCTTCGTATATCTATTATGTATTATATATATCCTGTATGCATTTCTAGATATGAAATTATACAGTTTTGTGTGTTATTTTCTTCCCTTAGCCATTCTAGAAATTGTATTCAATTATTGACAACTACAAATTATCATTTTCAAGGGTTTTGTAATATTTTGCAGTGTGAACATATCCTAATGTATTTAGCCATTGCCCTGTGATTGACATTTGGGTTGTTTCTAATTCATATCACTTTGAAAATTTTGGAACTTGACTCTTCTGCCGGAAGACGGCTGGTAGGGGGCTGGGCTGCCTCCACACACTGGGGAGAGAGGCCAACATTTGTTGCCAGGACTAGGGCAGAGCCTGGAACTGCAGAGAGGTAGCAGAGGATGGGTCCATTGCATAGTCTCCTGGGTTTGTCCAGCACAGCTTGGACTGAGGGTGACTGCCCTGATCAAGTGTTCACAGTTGGCTCAGCAAGTATATCAGGGGTGTCACTGGCCAGGCATGTGGGTGTGCTGAGGGCTGGTCACCTCTGGTCGGCAGAACCTGGTTGAAGGGGATCCTGGCACAGCCAGGTAGAGGCGGATTTCTCAGTGGGAGAGTGCTGCCACGCTGTGGAGATGTCTCAGAAGTGCATGTCACAGGGGCCACGTTCTGCTTTCGCTCTGATCAGAAAGCAGAGCTCAAAAGTCAGGTCACAGAACTCACACACACACTCTCTTGCACGCACAGCAGGCACCTTCAAAGGCGTAAATCCCCCTTGCTGCTAACCTGTGGGCAAGGAATGCTGGGACATTCGTCTATTAGATTTGATCTCAGTTCCTAAATCCAGGTCACACAACAAAGAGGGCAGTACGATGGCATACTTAGAATTTTGGATGTTGTAAAATCTTGGCCTTTTTAGAGTTAAAAAAAAATTTTAGAGTTAATCCCAGTCTAACTTTGCACTTATGGAGAAGCCGTTTCCTTTGCCTACTTCCGTAAAGCTTAATGGCAGAGGCACAGCCAGGAGTTCAGACTCCTTATTGTCTAACGACCTCTTTCCTGAATGGTGATGCCACTCAAATGCTTTCAGGGGCTTTACCACTGGAGGCTTTCGAAGTAATGTGTGGCATTGGCATAGATCTTTAATTTTTCCATGCAGGGAAGCAATTTCTACTTTTTTTGATGGTGCCACTTTATTTTCCTTGTATTGCTACATTTCTTTAAAATGTCATATGGCATGAGTATAGAAATATACACATTTTCAAGGAACATTGAAATTCGCATTTGTACTTTTTCATGAAATGATGCTGTGACACTCAGTAAAGATTCATCTGGAACCAGAAATCTCTGACTTAGGGCCATAGTGACTAATGTGATTTTGGTCCTTGAGTTTTTTATTGGAAGTTGTGAGTAGAGTGACTTCATATCTAGTAGTATTAATAACATTAAAAATGAGCTGGCATTGCATTGTGCACAGAGGGCACAATGTCACAGACAGAGTGAAAAATGTCACAGAAAGAGGTGCCCGAAAGGACATGCAGATGGGAGATGAATTCCTTCACACACTGTTCTTTCTCCCTTTTGTGAACCTCACAAGTGTCTTCAGTTATCAAAAAATGTGTGTGAGGGTGTGTATGAGTGAGTGAGGGTGTGTGTGTGTGCATGTGTGCATGTTGTAAGAACATGTTAGAGTGTGAGTGTGGAGTGTGTTTGCATGTGTGTATGTGTGAGTGCATGCATGCACATGTGTGTATATGAGTGTGCATGTGTACGTATGTGAGACCACAGGCATGAGATATGTGAGATTAAGTATGTGCACATTTGTAAGTATGTGTATTGTGTGTAATGTGCATGAATATAGTGCAAGAGCATATGAGTGTGTGGATGTGTGTACAAACACATGAAGTATGTGTGAAGGTGTATATACATGAGAGTGTGTGAAGGTGCGTGTGCATGAGTGTGTGTGAAGGTGCGTGTGCATGAGAGTGTGTGAAGGTGCGTGTGCATGAGAGTGTGTGAAGGTGTGTGTGCATGCACATGTTGTGAAGTCATGTGAAAGTGTACATGAGTGGGCATGTGTATGTGTGAGGGTGTGTGTGAATGCATGTGTGTGAGGGAATGTGAGAGTGTAAGAGTGTGAGTGTGCATGTATGTGAGTGGTGAGGATGTGTGTGCGGGCACATGGGTGTGAAGCATGTGCGAGTATGTGTGATAATGTGTGGGTCAGTGTGTATGCGTGTGTGCATGTATCCTCTCCCCAAACAGACCATAGACTCCTCGGGGGCAGAGACTATGATTTTCTATCTCCTCTTTTCCTAATTTAAGGGTAAGCACAGACTAAGAAGTTGACCATAAAAATTGGTAACAATTGGCCGGGCACAGTGGCTCACGCCTGTAATCCCAGCACTTTGGGAGGCTGAAGTGCGTGGATCACCTGAGGTCAGGAATTCGAGACCAGCCTGGCCAACATGGCAAAATCCCGTCTCTACTAAAAATACAAAAATTTAGCCAGGTATTGTGGCGGGAGCCTGTATTTGCAGCTACTCGGGAGGCTGAGGCAGGAGAATTGCTTGAACCTGGGAGGCAGAGGTTGCAGTGAGCTGAGACTGGGCCGTTGCACTCCAGCCTGGGCAACAAGAGTGAAACTCAGTCTCAAAAAAAAAAAAAATTGGTAACAATTGGCTACAAATTGGCAACAAAAATTTGGTGACTGTGGACCCCAAGGCATGTGCCGGTAGTCTCACCTACTTAGGAAGCTGAGGCGAGAGGACTGCTTGAACCTAGGTACTCAGGTCCAGCCTGAGCAACATGGTGAGACCCCATTCTTAAAAAGACTTTTTGTGGGGGCTGGAAACTGAAACAAATTGATGGCATGATGGCTAGAGTAAGGTTCTCAAACATGTTCATCTAATGGTGACAGCTGCCATGGACTGAGCACATTCAGTGCCTCACGCTCGGCTCTAGGTGCCTCAGCAGATCTGTGTAGGTACCCGAGGGACACAGAGACTGTGAGGAGCCAGTATGGCTGGCAACGTGAGTGGACACAGTCATCTAGTTCTTCCTCTGCCCCACCGTGAGTGAGGGGAGCCGAGGGCAGTCCTGGGACATGGCTACAGAATTCAAGATTCTGGAAGGGTCATGTGCTACAACTTCTGCCTTTAAGGCTGACGAGCCCTCTAGCCTGTTTCTGAAGCTCTCTAGGCTTAGAGATTCTGTGATTCCCTTGTCTCCCCTTCCAGCTCTTTTATCACAGATTGGTAGAGAAGACCAAGTGGACAGCCTCCCGCCAGCAGGTGCAGGTGTGCAGCGCATGCCCATCCCTGTTCCTGATGCTTCTTGGCTTTCCTGCAGGTTTGCCAAGCTGCTGCTGCGCCTCCCAGCTCTGCGCTCCATTGGCTTGAAATGTCTGGAGCACCTCTTCTTCTTCAAGCTCATCGGGGACACCCCCATTGACACCTTCCTCATGGAGATGTTGGAGACCCCGCTGCAGATCACCTGAGCCCTACCAGCCACAGCCTCCCCATCCAGGATGATCCCCGGGCAGGTGTGTGTGGACCCCCACCCTGCACTTTCCTCCACCTCCCACCCTGACCCCCTTCCTGTCCCAAAATGTGATGCTTATAATAAAGAAAACCTTTCTACACATGAGACTTTTATAGGTGGACTTTTGTATAGATGTTAAAGGTAATACGCTTTGCTGTCTACAGGGCTGTGGGACTTACTGGAAGTTCTTGGGAAAACTAACCAAGCCTCTGTACATACAATTGGTTTAAATTATTTTTTCATTTGCCCTGGAAAGCAAACAAATGAGTAATAAAATAATATATGTGAAATTGGCACTGCCGGAGCATGGGGTGTGTTATTGTGCTACAGGGAAGTCGACTCAGAAATGGAGAAGGGATATCAGAGGCTGGGGTCCTGAGACCATAAATCCCAGAGCATAATGCCTGAATCTAAGCTGGGCTTTGCTGCACAGCAAGCTTTGCCCAGGGGCACATTCTGGGGAGACTGGGAAGAGATGCTGTCTTTCAAAATTAACTTGTTTTTTTGTTTGTTTGTTTTTGTTTTTCTCCTAATAATAATGCACAGAAAGAGACTTATTCTAAATGGAGGCAATTTAGTATAAGGCCAAAGGAGAGATGTTCTTTGTCCTGGGAGCTGGTGGAAGATCTTAGGTTCTGGGAGTTGGTGGGAGGTGGTAACAAAGGAATAGGTTTGTCTGTTATATCATGAGCTACCAACAATAGTCAAAAGACTAGAGTACACCAAGTTTGTTTTCCAATCTTATCTAACCCTGTGCAGCCTGTTCTTAAAGGGGAAAGAGAAAAGCTCTCCCACCTTCTAGTCTAGGATGTCCAGATTTACATAGTTTTTAAATCCCAACCGTTGGCTGGACAATGAGCTTCTTGAAGGTACAGACTGTGTCTGACACCACACACAGCCCATATAGCTCACTGTCTTTAACTCACATTCCTGCCATCTGCAGGAATAGGGCTTAACAGATACACAAATCGATGTATGCTATGAATTACGTGGTACCCCCCTAGGGTTGTAAATGTAAATGTGCAGCCTGAACAGCTGCACATGGCAGTCCTGCTTCACCTTTTCCATACCACCAGAACCTGACCCAGGGCCTGGTGTACAAAGCACAAAGTAATCTGTGTTGTTGAATTGGGTTCCACACAACTAGAAAGAATCCCCTAAAAGACAATGTGGATGACATTTGTCTCATTCCCCATCAATAGCTTGTCCCCTCAAAACCCCCATGGTTAATTCTCCAGTCCAAATACATCCCTCAGTACAACTGTGAAAAAACTAACATTGCTTTATGACTAAGAAAAATTTAGGGATCTGTCAGCGTTGGACATTAAACAATGGAACGTAAATCTTAATTCTGCTGTTCTTTCCCTTAACTTGTGTATCTGCATTTACTGTGAACTATGATGAAAATAGTTGGCAGTGGGTGTTAAAATTTAATTGTAGCCTGCTTGATCTCCTCCCTCTGCCAGCATAATTCACCAGATACATTCAACCGCCTTAAGGTAACAAGGGCCTTCCAGGAAAATTCACTGCCCCCCCACCACGGGGGGTCACTTGAGTCCCATTCCTTTTCTTTTGTTTGTTTGTTTGAGACGGACTTTTGCTCTGTCACCCAGGCTGGATTGCAGGGTGCAATCCTGGCTCACTGTAACCTCTACCTCCCAGGTCTGAGCCATTCTCCTGCTGCAGCCTCCCAAGTAGCTGGGACTACAGGTGTGTGCCACCCTGCCCGGCTAAGTGTTTTGTTTCTAGTAGAGACAGGATTTCGCCATGTCTGGCCAGGCTGGTCTCAAACTCCTGACCTCAAGTCCTCCACCCGCGTTGGCCTCCCAAAGTGCTGAGATTACAGGCATGAGCCACCGCTTCCAGCCCCATTCCAATCTTTGATCCCTTTTCCAGCCAACCCTAACTTTTGCCTGCAGCAAAACACAGACTGGTCAGGGCCCAGCAGGGTGCTGCACATCCATCAGGGGCGGTGTCTCCCGAACTGCTGCTAGGGAGCATCACTGAGCCCGAACAGAAGCTCTGCAGGAGCTGGGCTGTCTTTGTTGCACAGGCTGGTCCTATCAGATTCAGGGTCTCAAAGGCCACCTCCTTCCTGAGCTGGTCCTCCTTATACCCTAGCAAGAGCAACTGAGTGGATGTTCAGCCCCACCCGGATTGAGGTTCACCTTCCTGAAGGCCTGGCTCCACAGAAGCCATGATAAGTTTCCAGGGCCCCACATCTCCGAAGAGCAAGAGCTTTCCTCATTCCACATGCCTCACCTACAAGTGGAATCAGCTGTGTGAGGGGACAGCACGGTCAAGGCTGACGAATGTTTTTGGTGTCCCACACCCTGTACTATGTAGTCTGACTTAAAACAGAGGGATGAAGCCTTGTTTTTCACAAGTTCTCATAGAGCCTGAGCTCACAGCTCCGGGGTGAAAAGCCTGTCACTCTGGGCTTAGGCAGCCAGAGCCTGACTCCTGGCTCTGCCAGCAGTAGTCTTGGATTTAGGGAAAGTTACTTACCTTCTCTGCCTCTTATTTCCTTCTCTATTTGTAAAGGTCAGATGATAATACCCACCTTATAAGGATAAAAAGATGAAAGATGCATAAAGCCTAGTGTAAGAGCACATACGTAAGACATACTTGGATTCTGAGTCCTGACTTTGTCATTCATGATGGACTTAAGCCTCGCTGAGCCTCAATCACCGAATCTGTAAAATGGGATTCTTGTGAGGATGCCATAAGCTAATGCTCTTAGTGCTGTGACTGGCATGGAAGATGGGCAAAAATGTTAATTTATTTTCTGCTGAAGAGTGAGATTGCAATTAAAACATAATCTTGGAGTTTCAAGGAAATTGCCAGAACATTCTATCCCACAGCCTGGCTTGGATCATCCAATATACTGTAAGAGGGATCAAAGATTTCTAGTTTCTAGTTTTGGTTTAACACTTTTATTCTAGGTCACATCTTCAGCAGGCAAATGGAAATGAACCACCCCATTTTCCTAATAAACAATGCTGATAACAGGAAAGCTGGTGTGAGCTGCAGGCACCAAGCGAGTGCAGGACGCTGGTGACTGTGGAGCCTGCCTATGAGTCAGATTGGAGGAAATACATGCAGAAAGGGGCCATGGTTACAAACACAGGCTCAGAGTCGGCCCAGCCGGCCTCAATTAAAATCCCATCTGATCACTGAGTAACCCTGGGAAAGTGATTTAATCTTTTAGACCTTAGTTTTCTACTTTGTAAACTGTGAAAAATAATAGTACCTATCCACAGGGGCCTGTTGAGAGAAGCAGATGAGATAATCTATGACCCATACACAGGGCTATGTTCAGCACGTGGTGAGCTCTCAATTAATTTTAGTAAACCATTATTATTATTCATCCAAATATCTTCTACGGGATTCTTGCTCTGGAAAGAAAGTCCAGACTTCATGGAGAAGCCCCACCCTACACCTAACTCCTTCCCACACCCTACCTAACCTGAGAGCTCTCCACACCTTAGCCCCCATCCCCCATGCTGACAACTCACCCGTGCAGTGTGGGCCCGCCCTTCCTCACATGGTTGGTGTGAAAGTCAAGTGAGATAATTTAATGACAGCACTTTGTACACTATTAAAGACTGTGAAAAAGATGTCATTTGCACAGTATTTCTTGGCCTTGGCCATTTCTTTTCCTATCGTTTAGTGAAATCAACCAAATATTTGTTTATAATTTTATGCTGCTTTCTTGTTCAAAAACTTTCAATGACTTCCTTTAGTCTATTAAGCAGTCTCAGGCCAGGCACGATGGCTTATGCCTGTAATCCCAGCACTTTGGGAGGCAGAGGTGGGTGGATCACCTGAGGTCAGGAGTTTGAGACCAACCTGGCCAACATGGTGAAACCCCATCTCTACCATGGTGGCAGGTGCCTGTAATCCCAGCTACTTGGGAGGCTGAGGCAGGAGAATCAGTTGAACCTGGGAGGCAGAGGTTACAGTGAGCCGAGATCACGCCATTGCACTATGGCCTGGGTGACAAGAGTAAAACTTGGTCTCAAAAAAAAAAAAAAAAGAAAAGCAGTGTCACCAGGAAACAAGCGTGTCCCTCCCCACCCCTAGGGACATTTGGCAATATCTGAAGACACTTTTGATGGTCATGACAAGGGGAGTTCCGCTGGATGGAGGCTGGGGATGCTGCTAAACATCTATAATGCACAGGATGGCCCCACAGCAAAGAATTATCTGGCCCAAAATGTCAAAAGTACTGCGATTGTGAAACTCTGCTATAAAGTGTCACTAATGGAATAAAATACCAAACAGTACTTTCCTGTTGTTTTGGTATTTTGGCTAAAGCCCCAAGGTGAGGCCATGAGGTCCCCTCATGTCTTAAGGACTTATGAAGGTGGATGAGCTGGTTCTGTGACTTATTCCCCTTCTTGAGCTGATATTCATAGAAGATTGGAATTTAAGGATAGAAGTCTTTAGAATAAGGAATGTTTGGGGAGTAGAGTCATGGCTTTACCCTATCCCTTCAGGGTATACAGCGAGAGGGAGGGATCCCCATTCTGGTGGCAAATGAAGGGGGCAGAAAAGAGCAACTCATTGAGTGGGCGTGGGCACCTACACAGTGGGGAGGCTGGCACATGGCATTCTGGCTGATGCTTGCCTAGCAGCAGAAACCCACTGCCCCACCTTGCCACAGAGGGTGGGGAGGGAGAGCTGGGAGGGACCTGAGCTACCTTGAGCATCGAAATGGATGTCTCTTCTTGATAGAGACCTCTGAGGACAGGGGCCCATTGTGAGGGTGTAAGTGGGGAAGGAAAGGGAGAACACTGTATCCCACCGCCCCCCTCCCTGTACTTCGTTTGTCCAGGGTGTGGTATTTTCTGTGGGCCAACTGAATTCCCTGAAAAAAAGTTGTGTTTAGAATATCCTGAAGGTACTAAGCCAAGAGAGTGGCCTCTCAAGGCAAGGGGACTCCTGCAGTAGGAGGCTGTGGGTTGAACTTAGTTCCTGTGGGCAGGAACTAAGGGGTCAAGCAGAGCATTTGTTGCCCATACCTGTTACTTCGCAGTGCAGAGTTCCCCATGGGGCCTCCCAAAAGCTCACTATGTGCACTAAGAAGAGCCACCTGTTGGTACTTGCCACATGGAAGGCATCAACGGCGCCACACACTTAAGAGCACTTCTCTCTCTTCTCATCTTTCCTCCAGGGCCCAATTCCCTGGTAGAGAGAGCAGGAAGACCCAAAAAAAGAAGGAGGGGGAAGAAGGTAGGGGCAGAGAGAAGAATTGACCACCAAGTTTAGGTTAGACCAGACTTTGTAACT